TGGTGCCATGAGGTCAGTTTAAAAAACAGCTGGCCTTTGATGTAGTTGCGTGTCAATGTCGGTTCCTCCCATGACCTCCTGTTCCTGAGGGCATGTTTGCGTTTCGGTGTCCCCGATGGGGAGGGATATAATTGCCTCGCATCTTCACATTTGTCATGATTCATGCTGGCAACATTGCAGGAATATCTGGGGCTTCCACCTATGTTTGATGCCAGGGGCTCTCTGAGACAGGTATAAAAGGGCTGAGGGCTTTGCAGCCCGCTATCCTGCTTCCTCCACTTGTCTCTAAACAGATCACCTGGGTAAGTCGTGCTCTTGGAGGCTTCTCGGGGCTCTCTCCCTGCCTCCATCAATACAGCCTCTCCCCAGACCCTTGCCTAACTCTGCCTGCCCTTTGCAGTACTCCTTGCCTACGTGGAAGATGTCCTGCTCCAGCCTGTGTGCCCCTGTGTGCGGGGTGGCTGCCCCGGCCCCGCTGGCTGACAGCGCCAACGAGCCCTGCGTGCGGCAGTGCCCCGACTCCACCGTGGTGATCCAGCCCCCGGCCACGGTGCTCACCTTGCCCGGACCCATCCTCAGCTCCTTCCCTCAGCACGCCGTGGTCGGCTCGGCAGGAGTCCCGGCTGTTGCAGGGGGCTTTGGTGGCAGTTTTGGAGGCCGTGGTGCCTTTGGGGGCTATGGAGGCCTTGGGGGTTATGGTGGCCTTTTGGGCTCTGGAGGTCTTGGGGGTTATGGAGGCCTTGGGGGTTATGGAGGCCTTGGCGGCTATGGGGGCTATGGAGCCTTTGGGAGCTGCGGATATGGCGGCTGGCGCCGCGGCCTCAGGTACCTCAGTGGCAACTGCGGGCCCTGCTAAGCCCACGTCTGGCTCCTGCCCCTGATGAAGGAGAGCTCCTCAGCTGCCCTGGAACATCCTGACATGACATCACAAAGAGCTCCCCTTCGGTGTCACTGGTTTCCAGAGCTTAGAAGTCTTGTGCCTGCATGGGACCCCTCTGTCCTTCTCCTCCTTGTTTGAGCTTTGCTTCAGGACTCACTGCCCCATGGTGATGTAGCCAAGGAATGGACGCCTCCTGTAGCACGGCTGTTTCTCAGTACCGCTCTACCTTCTGCAAGGAGACAGGGACTGCCTTCCTGCCGTCTCCCTGATTCCCTACAATCCCCTACAGCAGTAATAAAAACTGTTATACCACATTCTTGAGCAGAGTTTTTCCTTGACACTTCCTGTTCTCCCCACTTGCCATATGGACGCACCATCTTTCTGGATCCAACCCTACCAGTTGCCACCCAGGGCATTCTCAGAGGTCCTGCAGCCATTCCCTCACCTCCACGCCCTACCCCAGGCAGCACAGCTCTTAAAAGAGAGTTGCCACAGGCTCCCCAGAGGAAAAGGCCTGGTTGGAGCTACTGCAGAGGCCATGGGACATCCAAAAGAGGCTGAGGGCCCCCCACCAGCCTTTACTCCACCCCCTCCAGTTTCCCTCCGTTTCCTCCCACATCTCGATGGAGCACTGGCAAGCTTTCCCCCACCACTGGGCCAGAAGCTCTTCCCTGGATACACAGCTTGCCTACCTGTAGCCGGGGGACACAGCTCTGGCCAAGTAGGACAGCAGTGCTCCACACAGCTCCATGCTGCAGACATGCTGTCAGGCCTTGGCTGCCCTTCCTCACACACCAGCACACAAAGCAATCTGCATGGCCAGGCCCCCAGAACACCGGGCCATAACAGCCGTGAGGAGACACGCCTGCTGCCTCCCACCACTCTGCCCTCACCCAGCATGCATGGGATGCTATGTGAGGCAGCACCCAGTGGTTGGCTGGCGGCCCTTGCGATGGAGCCTGGGGAGTTGTGTGGATGGGCAGAAATGCCATTTTTCCCTTCCCCTGCCTTGACAATTACGGGTGATGCGTGTTCTCCAGAGCCCCCACCACTGACCAACGTGCTGCCCCGCTGCTCTTCTTGATTTCCCTCACAGGAACAGTCTCAAAGAAAGACCACTGTGCAGAGCCAGGATCACACAATCAGAAGAGGTTTGGGAAAGGAAGGGACATGAGGCGGGTACGGACACGCACCGCCTACTCAAGGCGTTTGTGTTTCCTGGATCTGGATAGCTGCAATGGGTACATGGATGTGAGGGGAACCTGGGGCAGACTTGGTTGTGTCTCCTTCACCCCTTCCCAGTGCCACCACCTGCAGCTGTGCATGTGGGCACAGTCAGCAGGTGGCAGCAGCCCTGACCATGCAGTGGCCATCTCTCTGTCTCCCCAGACCTCCACGGCTGACCATAGAAAAGGCAATATAAAGGGGTCAAACATGCTGTGGTGGCTGTGCAAGATGGCTGTTGCTTTTTCATGTTTTCACAATAGGATTCGGTACTCATTGCCATTCTACCCGGTGAGAGAAGGGAGGTGGTTCAGGGGCCTGTCCTCTACAAGACCCACTGGGGCCTCTGATCTTCAGTCGTAATGCCCTGTCCCAGCTGCACAAAGAATCATAGAATCATAGAATATCTCGAGTTGGAAAGGACCCTTAAGGAACATCAAGTCCAAAACCTGACACCGCACAGGTCTTCCCAAAATGTTAGACCATGTGCCTAAGTGCACAGTCCAATTCCTTCATAAATTCAGACAGGCTTGGTGCAGTGACTAATTCACTGTGGAGCCTGTTCCAGTGTGCGACCACCCTCTTGGAGAAGAACCTCTTCCTGATGTCCAAGCTAAACCTCCCCTCCTTCAGCTTAACGTGCAGAAGCAAGGGTCCCGGTAGCAAAGGCAGGAATGCAGCCAGCAGCCCAACTGCCCTGGCTCTGAGTTTTGGGGGAAGTCTGGAAGAAGAACGATGAAGAAATACCATGGGTCAAGAATGTGGTGCAACAGTGCTTTTATTAAAAGTCCATGGGAGCAGGAAGTTGACAGAAGGGCAGCCCCTGGGCAGAGGCATCCATCAGGTCCTTGGAAAAGGCACAGAGGAGGTAACCAGCAACCATGCTACATGAACAGGAGGAAGATACTGTGCTGCCTGTCATGGGGCAGCAAGTCCTGAAAAGAATCTCAATCGGGGCAGGTAAAAGTCAGAATTGGGCCGCATGCAGGCAGGAGGCCTCCAAGCTCTAGAGACAGGTGACACCAAAGGGGAGCCATTCCTGCGGCTGTCATGCTGGGAAATACCAGTGCAGCTGCAGAGCTCTCTTTACTCAGAGGCTGGAGCCAGAGGTGGGTTTAGCAGGGCCCACAGTTGCCACTGAGGTACCTGTGGCCGCGACGCCAGCCGCCATATCCGCAGCTCCCAAAGGCTCCATAGCCCCCATAGCCGCCAAGGCCTCCGTAACCCCCAAGGCCTCCATAACCCCCAAGGCCTCCAGAGCCCAAAAGGCCACCATAACCCCCAAGGCCTCCATAGCCCCCAAAGGCACCACGGCCTCCAAAAGTGCCGCCAAAGCCCCCTGCAACAGCCGGGACTCCCGCCGAGCCGACCACGGCGTGCTGAGGGAAGGAGCTGAGGATGGGTCCGGGCAAGGTGAGCACCGTGGCCGGGGGCTGGATCACCACGGTGGAGTCAGGGCACTGCCGCACGCAGGGCTCGTTGGCGCTGTCAGCCAGCGGGGCCGGGGCAGCCACCCCGCACACAGGGGCACACAGGCTGGAGCAGGACATCTTCCACGTAGGCAAGGAGTACTGCAAAGGGCAGGCAGAGTTAGGCAAGGGTCTGGGGAGAGGCTGTATTGATGGAGGCAGGGAGAGAGCCCCGAGAAGCCTCCAAGAGCACGACTTACCCAGGTGATCTGTTTAGAGACAAGTGGAGGAAGCAGGATAGAGGGCTGCAAAGCCCTCAGCCCTTTTATACATCGTACGAGAGCCCGTAGCTAGAAACAGATGTGGAAGCCCCAGATATTCATACAATAAAGCTGACACCCTTCATGACATGCATGTAAATGCAGGGCAATTATATCCGTCAGTTATTCATGCAATTACAAGCCTCAAATTTTCGTGTAATAAAGCCAGCACAAATCACGGCAAACGTGGAGTCAGGGCAATTGTATCCCTCCCCACCAAGGAAAATGAGGCAAAAGCATGCCCACAGGAACAGGAGTTGATGGGAGGGACAGACTGTGACATGAAACTATGTGAAAGTCACCAACTGCTGAAGCTGACCTCACAACACCAATAAACCCTGATTTCTTCCTAATCCCAAACTTTGTCTCTGTGGAAGAGTCAGAGGTATTTTGCTGAAGAAGCACTGTGCTACACTGTACACAGCCAGCACACCTGTCATTACTTCCATTTCACAGGGTGGTAAACGGAGGTGGTAGAAGTTTGGGTAAACAGATGAAGCCATCCCACCCACTTGCAGAAAATTCCAAACACTCACCATCACCCTGTACAGGCAAGGGCGGAAGGGCACTTGGGTGGGAGTTGAGGAGCATCCCTAACCATTGCCCTTCTCCCTGCCCCGTGGGACATGTGCTACTCCTTGCTCGCCAATTCATCTAAGGCCAAGTAAAGAGCTCTGGTTTTGTTGGTACTGAGGGTGAACCCCCATCAACCTGGGGGATTAGGAATTCATTGGGATTTATTCATGTCATAAGATCAGCTTCAGCAGTGGCTGGCCTTTCATGTATGTGCGCGTCATGGTCTACTCCTCCTGTCACGTTCCTGTTCCCCAGGGCACATTTGTGCCTCAGTGTCCCCCACTGGGGAGAGATATAATAGCCCCCGCATCACCACGTGTGTCATGAAGGGTAGTCAGCTTTATTGCATGAATATCTGAGGCTTCCACGTCCTGCCTGATTCCACAGGCTCCCTGAGACAGATATAAAAGGGCTGAGGGCTTTGCAGCCCGCTATCCTGCTTCCTCCACTTGCCTCTGAACAGATCACCTGGGTAAGTCGTGCTCTTGGAGGCTTCTCGGGGCTCTCTCCCTGCCTCCATCAATACAGCCTCTCCCCAGACCCTTGCCTAACTCTGCCTGCCCTTTGCAGTACTCCTTGCCTACGTGGAAGATGTCCTGCTCCAGCCTGTGTGCCCCTGTGTGCGGGGTGGCTGCCCCGACCCCGCTGGCTGACAGCGCCAACGAGCCCTGCGTGCGGCAGTGCCCCGACTCCACCGTGGTGATCCAGCCCCCGGCCACGGTGCTCACCTTGCCTGGACCCATCCTCAGCTCCTTCCCTCAGCACGCCGTAGTTGGCTCGGCAGGAGTCCCGGCTGTTGCAGGGGGCTTTGGCGGCACTTTTGGAGGCCGTGGTGCCTTTGGGGGTTATGGAGGCCTTGGGGGTTATGGAGGCCTTGGCGGCTATGGGGGCTATGGAGCCTTTGGGAGCTGTGGATATGGCGGCTGGCGCCGGGGCCTCAGGTACCTCAGTGGCAACTGCGGGCCCTGCTAAGCCCACGTCTGGCTCCTGCCCCTGACGAAGGAGATCTCCTCAGCTGCCGTGGAACATCCTGACATGACATCACAAAGAGCTCCCCTTCGGTGTCACTGGTTTCCAGAGCTTGGAGGTCTTGTGCCTGCATGGGACCCTCTGTCCTTCTCCTCCTTGTTTGAGCTTTGCTTCAGGACTTGCTGCCCCATGACGATGCAGCCAAGGAACGGACGCCTCCTGTGGCACGGCTGTTTCTCAGTACCGCTCTACCTTCTGCAAGGAGACAGGGACTGCCTTCCTGCCGTCTCCCTGATTCCCTACAATCCCCTACAGCAGTAATAAAAACTGTTATACCACATTCTTGAGCAGAGTTTTTCCTTGACACTTCCTGTTCTCCCCACTTGCCATATGGACGCACCATCTTTCTGGATCCAACCCTACCAGTTGCCACCCAGGGCATTCTCAGAGGTCCTGCAGCCATTCCCTCACCTCCACGCCCTACCCCAGGCAGCACAGCTCTTAAAAGAGAGTTGCCACAGGCTCCCCAGAGGAAAAGGCCTGGTTGGAGCTACTGCAGAGGCCATGGGACATCCAAAAGAGGCTGAGGGCCCCCCACCAGCCTTTACTCCACCCCCTCCAGTTTCCCTCCGTTTCCTCCCACATCTCGATGGAGCACTGGCAAGCTTTTCCTCACCACTGGGCCAGAAGCTCTTCCCTGGATACACAGCTTGCCTACCTGTAGCTGATGGACACAGCTCTGGCCAAGTAGGACAGCAGTGCTCCACACAGCTCCATGCTGCAGACATGCTGCCAGGCCTTGGCTGCCCTTCCTCACACACCAGCACACAAAGCAGTCTGCATGGCCAGGCCCCCAGAACACCTGGCCATAACAGCCATGATGAGGCACACCGGCTGCCTCCCACCACTCTGCCCTCACCCAGCATGCATGGGATGCTATGTGAGGCAGCACCCAGTGGTTGGCTGGCGGCCCTTGCAATGGAGCCTGGGGAGTTGTGTGGACGGGCAGAAATGCCATTTTTCCCTTCCCCTGCCTTGACAATTATGGGTGATGCATGTTCTCCTGAGCCCCCACCACTGACCAACGTGCTGCCCCGCTGCTCTTCTTGATTTCCCTCACAGGAACAGTCTCAAAGAAAGACCACTGTGCAGAGCCAGGATCACACAATCAGAAGACACTTAGGGAATGAAGGGACATGAGGCGGGTACGGACACGCACCGCCTACTCAAGGCGTTTGTGTTTCCTGGATCTGGATGGCTGCAATGGGTACATGGATGTGAGGGGAACCTGGGGCAGACTTGGTTGTGTCTCCTTCACCCCTTCCCAGTGCCACCACCTGCAGCTGTGCATGTGGGCACAGTCAGCAGGTGGCAGCAGCCCTGACCATGCAGTGGCCATCTCTCTGTCTCCCCAGACCTCCAAGGCTGACCATAGAAAAGGCAATATAAAGGGGTCAAACATGCTGTGGTGGCTGTGCAAGATGGCTGTTGCTTTTTCATGTTTTCACAATAGGATTCGGTACTCATTGCCATTCTACCCGGTGAGAGAAGGGAGGAGGTTCAGGGGCCTGTCCTCTACAAGACCCACTGGGGCCTCTGATCTTCAGTCGTAATGCCCTGTCCCAGCTGCACAAAGAATCATAGAATCATAGAATATCTCGAGTTGGAAAGGACCCTTAAGGAACATCAAGTCCAAAACCTGACACCGCACAGGTCTTCCCAAAATGTTAGACCATGTGCCTAAGTGCACAGTCCAATTCCTTCATAAATTCAGACAGGCTTGGTGCAGTGACTAATTCACTGTGGAGCCTGTTCCAGTGTGCGACCACCCTCTTGGAGAAGAACCTCTTCCTGATGTCCAAGCTAAACCTCCCCTCCTTCAGCTTAACGTGCAGAAGCAAGGGTCCCGGTAGCAAAGGCAGGAATGCAGCCAGCAGCCCAACTGCCCTGGCTCTGAGTTTTGGGGGAAGTCTGGAAGAAGAACGATGAAGAAATACCATGGGTCAAGAATGTGGTGCAACAGTGCTTTTATTAAAAGTCCATGGGAGCAGGAAGTTGACAGAAGGGCAGCCCCTGGGCAGAGGCATCCATCAGGTCCTTGGAAAAGGCACAGAGGAGGTAACCAGCAACCATGCTACATGAACAGGAGGAAGATACTGTGCTGCCTGTCATGGGGCAGCAAGTCCTGAAAAGAATCTCAATCGGGGCAGGTAAAAGTCAGAATTGGGCCACATGCAGGCAGGAGGCCTCCAAGCTCTAGAGACAGGTGACACCAAAGGGGAGCCATTCCTGCGGCTGTCATGCTGGGAAATACCAGTGCAGCTGCAGAGCTCTCTTTAGTCAGAGGCTGGAGCCAGAGGTGGGTTTAGCAGGGCCCACAGTTGCCACTGAGGTACCTGTGGCCGCGACGCCAGCCGCCATATCCGCAGCTCCCAAAGGCTCCATAGCCCCCATAGCCGCCAAGGCCTCCATAGCCGCCAAGGCCTCCATAACCCCCAAGGCCTCCAGAGCCCAAAAGGCCACCATAACCCCCAAGGCCTCCAGAGCCCCCAAAGGCACCACGGCCTCCAAAAGTGCCGCCAAAGCCCCCTGCAACAGCCGGGACTCCCGCCGAGCCGACCACGGCGTGCTGAGGGAAGGAGCTGAGGATGGGTCCGGGCAAGGTGAGCACCGTGGCCGGGGGCTGGATCACCACGGTGGAGTCAGGGCACTGCCGCACGCAGGGCTCGTTGGCGCTGTCAGCCAGCGGGGCCGGGGCAGCCACCCCGCACACAGGGGCACACAGGCTGGAGCAGGACATCTTCCACGTAGGCAAGGAGTACTGCAAAGGGCAGGCAGAGTTAGGCAAGGGTCTGGGGAGAGGCTGTATTGATGGAGGCAGGGAGAGAGCCCCGAGAAGCCTCCAAGAGCACGACTTACCCAGGTGATCTGTTTAGAGACAAGTGGAGGTAGCAGGATAGAGGGCTGCAAAGCCCTCAGCCCTTTTATACATCGTACGAGAGCCCGTAGCTAGAAACAGATGTGGAAGCCCCAGATATTCATACAATAAAGCTGACACCCTTCATGACATGCATGTAAATGCAGGGCAATTATATCCGTCAGTTATTCATGCAATTACAAGCCTCAAATTTTCGTGTAATAAAGCCAGCACAAATCACGGCAAACGTGGAGTCAGGGCAATTGTATCCCTCCCCACCAAGGAAAATGAGGCAAAAGCATGCCCACAGGAACAGGAGTTGACGGGAGGGACAGACTGTGACATGAAACTATGTGAAAGTCACCAACTGCTGAAGCTGACCTCACAACACCAATAAACCCTGATTTCTTCCTAATCCCAAACTTTGTCTCTGTGGAAGAGTCAGAGGTATTTTGCTGAAGAAGCACTGTGCTACACTGTACACAGAAAGCACACCTGTCATTACTTCCATTTCACAGGGTGGTAAACGGAGGTGGTAGAAGTTTGGGTAAACAGATGAAGTCATCCCACCCACTTGCAGAAAATTCCAAACACTCACCATCACCCTGTACAGGCAAGGCCTTGGCGGCTATGGGGGCTATGGAGCCTTTGGGAGCTGCGGATACGGTGTCAGGCGTCGGGGCCTCAGGTACCTCAGTGGCAACTGTGGGCCCTGCTAAGCCCTCGTCTGGCTCCTGCCCCTGAAGAAGGAGAGCTCCTCAGCTGTTCTGGAACGTCCCGACATGACACCAGCAGGAAAAGCTCCTCTTTGGCGTCACCCGTCTCCAGAGCTTGGAGGTCATGTGCCTGCATGGGGCCTAGCTCTCACTTTATCATGTCCCTGACGAGCTTTGCTTCAGGACTTGCGGCCCCATGACAATGCAACCTCATGGAAATGCCTTTTCCTGTGGCTGGCTGCTGCTCTCCTCCTCTCTGCATCTTGCAAGGAGTTGGAGGCTGCCTCTGCCCAGGGGCTGCCCTTCTGCCATCTCTTTGCTTCCCTGGACCTTCAATAAAAGCTCTGTTGCACCACGTTCTTGACCCATGGTATTTCTTCATCATTCTTCTTCCAGACTTCCCCCAAAACTCAGAGCCAGGGCAGTTGGGCTGCTGACTGCACTCCTGCCTTTGCTACTGTGGTCTTTGGGCCGCTGGGGCAGGGCATTACGACTGAAGATCAGAGGCCCCAGTGGGTCTTGTAGAGGACAGGCCCCTGAACCTCCTCCCTTCTCTCACCGGGTACAAAGGCAACACATCCCCAATACTACTTGGAGAACATGACAGAGAACTCGCACAGCCACCACAGCACGTTTGACCTCTTTATATTGCCTTTTCTATGGTCAGCCATGGAGGTCTGGGGAGACAGAGAGATGGCCACTGCATGGTCAGGGCTGCTGCCACCTGCTGACTGTGCCCACATGCACAGCTGCAGGTGGTGGCACTGGGAAGGGGTGAAGGAGACACAACCAAGTCTGCCCCAGGTTCCCCTCACATCCATGTACCCATTGCAGCCATCCAGATCCAGGGAGCACAAACGCCTTGAGTAGGCAGTTCGTGTCCGTACCCACCTCATGTCCCTTCCTTTCCCAAACCTCTTCTGATTGTGTGATCCTGGCTCTGCACAGTGGTCTTTCTTTGAGACTGTTCCTGCGAGGGAAGTCAAGAAGAGCAGCTTGGCAGCACGTTGGTCAGTGGTGGGGGCTCAGGAGAACATGCATCACCCATAATTGTCAAGGCAGGGGAAGGGAAAAATGGCATTTCTGCCCGTCCACACAACTCCCCAGGCTCCATTGCAAGGGCCGCCAGCCAACCACTGGGTGCTGCCTCACATAGCATCCCATGCATGCTGGGTGAGGGCAGAGTGGTGGGAGGCAGCAGGCGTGTCTCCTCACGGCTGTTATGGCCCGGTGTTCTGGGGGCCTGGCCATGCAGATTGCTTTGTGTGCTGGTGTGTGAGGAAGGGCAGCCAAGGCCTGGCAGCATGTCTGCAGCATGGAGCTGTGTGGAGCACTGCTGTCCTACTTGGCCAGAGCTGTGTCCATCAGCTACAGGTAGGCAAGCTGTGTATCCAGGGAAGAGCTTCTGGCCCAGTGGTGAGGAAAAGCTTGCCAGTGCTCTATGCAGATGTGGTAGGAAGAGGAGGGAAACCGATCAGGTTGGAGTAAAGGCTGGTGGGGTCCCTCAGCCTCCTTCCTCTGCCCCTTGGCCTCCCTGGTGACTTTAACCAGGCGTTTGCCCTTGGGGAGGCTGTGGTGACCTTCTTGTAATGGCCATGTGTGCAGGGCCTTTGGAGGATATGAGGGAGTGCCTGTGGTACTCTTGAGGACTCCCCGATGGCAGCTCCCACTCCTCACAGGAAGAAGCGAATGGAGGAAGTGTCACAGAAAAGACAGGGTCCAGAATGTGTTTTAACAGAGCTTTTATTTCAGGTCCAGGGGATTAGGGAGGTGGCAGAAGTGTAGTCCCTGACTCCTTGCAGAAGGCAGAGCGTTGGTGAGCAGCAGCCTTGCAACAGGAGGCGTCCAATTCTTGGCTGCATCATTGTGGGGCATTGATTCCTAAAGCAAAGCTCAAACAGGAAGGAGAAGCACAGAGGAGCCCCATGCAGGTGCCATGCCTCCAAGATCTTGAGCCCGATGATGATAAAGCGGAGCCTTTAATGGCAACATCAGGTGGGAAAATTTCAGGGCAACTGCAGAGCTCTCCTTCATCACAGACTGGAGCCATAGGTGGGCCTAGCATGGTCCGCAGTTTCCACTGAGGTACCTGAGGCCCCGGCGCCAGCCACCATATCCGCAGCTCCCAAAGGCTCCATAGCCCCCATAGCCGCCAAGGCCTCCGTAACCCCCAAGGCCTCCATATCCCCCAAGGCCTCCAGAGCCCAAAAGGCCACCATAACCCCCAAGGCCTCCAGAGCCCCCAAAGGCACCACGGCCTCCAAAAGTGCCGCCAAAGCCCCCTGCAACAGCCGGGACTCCCGCCGAGCCGACCACGGCGTGCTGAGGGAAGGAGCTGAGGATGGGTCCGGGCAAGGTGAGCACTGTGGCCGGGGGCTGGATCACCACGGTGGAGTCGGGGCACTGCCGCACGCAGGGCTCGTTGGCGCTGTCAGCCAGCGGGGCCGGGGCAGCCACCCCACACACCGGGGCACACAGGCTGGAGCAGGACATCTTCCACGTAGGCAAGGAGTACTGCAAAGGGCAGGCAGAGTTAGGCAAGGGTCTGGGGAGAGGCTGTATTGATGGAGGCAGGGAGAGAGCCCCGAGAAGCCTCCAAGAGCACGACTTACCCAGGTGATCTGTTTAGAGACAAGTGGAGGAAGTGGGATAGAGGGCTGCAAAGCCCTCAGCCCTTTTACATCTTTCCCATAGAGCCCGTGGCAAGGGGCAGGATGCGGTGTTGGAAGCCCCAGATATTCATGCAATAAAGCTGAAACCCTTTTTTAAACACGTGAAGGTGTGAGGCAATTATATCTTTCACCATCGGGGACACTGAGATACAAACCTGCCCTGGGGAACAGGGAGGTGATGGGAAGAAGAAACCATGATTGTCACCTATATGAAGGGTCATTGGCTTCTAAAGCTGACCTCACAGCAACAAGAAACAACAATGAATTTCTAATTCCCAGGGTTATTGGGCTTCAACCATAACGCCAACACTGCCACAGTTCTTTGCTTGGTCTATAGGTGTATTGGAGAGCAAGGAGTACCGCATGCCCCATAGGGCAAGAAGAAGGGCAATGGTTAGGGATGCTCCTCAATTCCCACCCAAATGCTTTGCAGCCCTTGCCTGTACATTGTGATGGTGTTTTGTCTTCTTCAAGTGGGTGGGACAGCTTCATCCCTTTACCCAAACTTATACCACCTCTGTTTACCAGCCAATAAAAGGGAAGTAATGACAGGCATGCTGGCTGTGCAGAGGGTTTCAAAGCACTTCTTCTGCTAAATACCCATGACTCTTCCACATAGACAAAGTTTGGGATTAGGAAGAAATCAGAGTTTATTGTTGCCATGAGGTCAGGTTCAGGAGTGGCTGGCCTTTCATGTAGTTGTGTCGCAGCCTGTTCCTCCCATCACCTCCCCATTCCCCAGGACGCGTTTGAGTCTCAAAGTCCCCAATGTGGAGGGATATAATTGCCCTGCATCTCTGTGTTTGTCATGATTCATGATGGCTTTATTGCATGAATATCTGGGGCTTTGTCCAATGCCACCTGCCCGATGCTGCAGGCTGTCTCTAGCAGGTATAAAAGAGCTGAGGGCTCCACAGCCCTCTATCCTGCGTCCTCCACTTGTCTCTTACTGCATCACTCGGGTAAGTCCATGCTTTATGTGCCTCTTCTATTCCTCAGCAGTCATTTCATCAATTGCATGTATTGGTGTGGGTTCTGCCTTTGTTTTTGCAGTGTTGTATAGGCTTGGTTTTAATGTAGTGTTTCATAGCTACAGAAAGGATGGATATTGAATTTTTTAGGCATGGTGCTTTGAGCATTCCAATGAAATTGAGTCCTTTGGCTCTCTTTCTATGTGCTTTGGATGATGTGTTTTTTCCTGTGTCCTCCGTATCAGGGAAATCAAGTTGTTCACACCAGCTGTCCAAGTGAAAACTGTGCTTATGCTCTGACTGATTTACTTGGTGCAGAGCCTTTCCTGGGGCAGAAGCTCCAAGTACAGGAGGGCAACAGGGTATTTGCAATGTGATGATGTTCTGACCCCAGCTCTGCCTTCTCTCGCAGCTTTGCCTTCAAATTGGAGGATGTCCTGCTCCAGCCTGTTTGCCCCTGTGTGTGGGGTGGCTGCCCCGGCCCCCTTGGCTGACAGCGCCAATGAGCCCTGCGTGCGGCAGTGCCCCGACTCTACGGTGGTGATCCAGCCCCCAGCCACGGTGCTCACCTTGCCTGGGCCCATCCTCAGCTCCTTCCCTCAGCATGCTGTGGTCGGCTCGGCGGGAGTCCCGGCTGTTGCAGGGGGCTTTGGTGGCACTTTTGGAGGCCGTGGTGCCTTTGGGGGCTCTGTAGGCCTTGGGGGTTATGGTGGCCTTTTGGGCTCTGGAGGCCTTGGGGGTTATGGAGGCCTTTTGGGCTATGGAGGCATTGGAGGTTATGGGGGCTATGGAGCCTTTGGGAGCTGCGGATACGGAGGTTGGGCTCTAAACCACAGGTACCTCAGTGGCAACTGCGGGCCCTGCTAAACTCCAAAGGCCTATGGAATGCAGTGCTGCATTTGCCTTGAGCCTTTACAAACAGCTGCCCTTGATTTCTACCACCAGATGCAGAATAAATCTTTCAGTCCCTCTTTCACCTATGCCAAAGCAGCTACTTTAATCTACTGCTCCTTTCTTTTTTGCAAATAACCTTGCAGATATATATCTGGGGCCTTCAGGATATTAACAATGCCTTTTTAAAGCTCCCCTCTATCTGCAATACAGTAGAGCAGTGCTCATCCTCGTGTGTCTCCCCTCTCTGCCCAGATCTGAGGTTCCTGAATGGTGTTAAGAAGGGGAAATCTTTGAGGTGAAGTCCTGTGTTGTAACTTGCTGCAGCTTTAGTATTTCTGTGATTCCATTTCATTGTTTCTGTGTTTTTTTTTTTTGTTTTTTTTTTTCTCTTGTTTCCTTTTTTTTTTTTTTTTCTTTCAATTTCTACTGCATTTTCCATTCATATTAAAGAATCTGTATTGCATCAATAAAATTTCTTGTCTGAATTTTGTCTTCACTTTGATGCGAGATATCTTTATACATTGGTGATGATGTGAAATACCAGATGGCAAGTGGGTTTGGTAACATTTTTGTGGAAGCACTGTTTTTCTCTTAGAAAACATTTTGAAATAAAATGTGGGAAAGTTGCTATCAAATAATTAACTTCACTAATACAAATAGATTTAAAGGCAAAATTCAGATTTATGCTTTTAATGATTTATAGAGGAATGGAAACTAAACTAGTTAAGTGTTTCTTTCTTGTTGATCCTGTGGGAAAATTATGCATATTTTCACATTAAAAACAATTTAGTATAGAGGAAATTGATACACTTTTCCTTTCCTCTCGATGGAAAGACAAAAGAAAATTTTTATTGGGACACAAAGCAATGTTTTTTCAGCTCATTGGAAACTTGTGCTTATCGTTGCCACCCACCAGTTGTGATGCACCAAGTTTTCACCCTGCAGCATGTCTACTGCCTTTGCTTTCCTCTGCAGGTATCTCTGGAGCTTCCTTTCAGTCTTATGGCCTCAGGGAAGCTCCATGCTGTGTGTTGGAAGGCTATGCCTAGGCCCTGGGTTTCTCCACCTGGAGAGCTGCACCCAGCAAGGCATGCCTTACTTGGGGCTTGGGGCCAAGTGTTGGAAAGTTGCTCTGTCCTGAGATGGACACGGGAAATTTGGCACAGATCATTACCTGAGAAGTGGCAACTGTCAGAGACTCAGGTTGGTCCTGGGGGCTGTCAAATATTAAGCTCATATCTAATGAGATCATGTAGAAAAGTGTGTGTGTGATTTTGTGATACTTGTGCACAAAGAGGAAACATGAAATACCTATGACAACGAATAAATATACTATAAATTCAATTGAGAAGTGAAAGAAAAAGGCAGCAATTATGTTGTAATGAAAACCAAAAGTCATAGTTTGGTATAGAAAATTTATTTGGAAGGAGACAGCTTTTCTACAATTCTGGAACAAAATTGTACATAATATAAAGATTATCTTTCTGGGGGTTCACTGTGGTCTGGTTTATCACCAGGACCAAAGTGATGCAGCCTATATATTTTTTTTTTCCTTCGGTGCAGTTGATGTGTGCAATTTCTAGCATCCTAAGTCACCTCTCTAGACTCAGTGTCAATAACGTAACTGAAGTAAACAAAGCACAATGTAAGCAGATGACTAAACCAGAAAGCCAGAGGCTAACAAACCTAAGCTAAAGGCAAAAGGAGAAACTGCACACATGAGCTGCCTCTCACAGGTGCTGAGTGTTCACAGCTCTCCTCCAGCTGGAGCCAGGCGATGCCCAATGCTGAGCTCCTGCCTGGCCGCTCAGCCCTCCTGCATTGCCAGGGGCTTGAGCTACCTGAAGCCGCTTCACATCCCAGCTCAGTATGTCCACCGTTTTCCAGAGCGGTACAAGTTGCATGGATGTGTCCATTGGGAAGAATATGTGTAGGAGTATTTAGGAGCGCACCGAGGCTCTGGGCGAGCGATAACCTGCGGGGTGAGTTTCTCCACTGCAGCCTCCAGCCTCCCCTGGGCCTCTGCTGGCAGGGGGGCTGCAGCAGGGGGCTCCGCCAGGGCCACCTCAGAGGGCTCTGAGGCTCCCACCACTGTTTGCTGGGGGTAGGTGGTGAGGATGGGCCCTGGGAAGGTGACGACGACGGGTGGTGGGTAGATGATCACCCGGGAGTCACCGCAGGCAACCACGCAGGGCTCGTTGCTGCTGGCAGCCAGGGGCTGAGGACACTTCGCCTCGCAGGGGTTGCTGCATGCCAGCTGCTCGGAAGCCATTGCCTGGCTGCGGAGGAGGGTCCTGCAATTTCATTGTGAAGTTAGAGGGGAGGAAAATAGGGGAAAAAAACCCAAATATACCCCGTGTGCTTGGCTGCTGATACTTCTATGCTTGACTCCAAGAGATCTTAAGAGAGATAATTTGAATAAAGAAAACAGCATAGCTTCTCTCCCCAGCTCAACAACATTTTACTTAGCCTGCACCTATTTATCTTTTCTAATTTGCTGCTTTAATCATGCTCCCTCCTCATCCTCTAGGAGCGAAAATCTGGCCCTTTTCCTGTGTGCCAATTCCAAACCTCACGTGTGCTCTAAAAGCTCATCTCTTGCAGTATTTTCTGGAGATGCGTTGGGTCTTGTTCCAGCAGCCTCCTTCCTCCTCCCACGGGCAGCCTCTCAGGGCAGTGCCTACATTCTTTTTTTTTACAGAGAGGGGTGCAAAGGGCGGGGAGAGCCAGGTTTTCAATAGAATTGAGTACCGAGTGATCTGTTTAGCAGCCTGCTTAACGTCTTCTATTTTCCATGCAAATTTCTGGTATTACCGAGCATTGTTCCATTAAAGCACAGAAGAAATAAAGGCTAAGAATAAAAGGGGGATTAAAAATACCGTTTTAATAAGTAAAACACCACACTTACAATATTTAAATTGTGGATGAATGGTTTTGCCAACCCGAATGCAAAACTTGCAGCTCTAGATTGGGGCTTGGGTACAGACAAATTTAATAATGGTTATTTCTTTCTTCACATTAAATCTCTACATACAAGCTAGTTCTCCGTGGTATAGCATCACACTAATTTTTAAACTTGTAAATCAAAGACATGGTACAGTGAAGAATAAGGAAAAAGTATTAATTTGTTCTCAGTTAAGCCCTGTGTGCTGCAGTGTATTAAATTACTGTCCTTAAACGTTTGAAAGTGAGGACTAGGGGATATGGCAGCTTTAAAGCACTCCTCACAGTAAGTAAATGCAGAATGCTTCTAAAGGTAGAGGGAGGATAATTTGGAGCTAATCTATAAAATCAATAAGTCTTATGTATGGAGAAGTGATATACAGGTTCTTAAATTATGTAGCCAAAAACACTTTATAATAAACAATTAAACCACAAAGCATAAAATGAAAGTATCTTAAAAGCTACTTTCCCTGACTTCAGGAGCTCAGTGTTACCTTGTACCAGATGCTAGCATAGGGAATAGGCAGGGCAATGAACTCACATCTATTTACTTGTCTCAGCTGTATTCTCAAAAGTAATTTCAAATATACTCAAAAGGATTCTCAAATACATCATTCTTCAGGGAGAGGGGAAGCATGTCTGCTATTTTTCCCCAAATACCTTCAGGTTAGAATTTAGCTTTGACCCAAAAAAATGCTTACCTCCATCTTTATAAGAACACATTAAAATGCTAGCAAAGTCACATTTTATTAATTAGAAATGAAAGCTTATTTTCCACAGTTACATTATGTAATAGTATCGAACCATCACCAGGTGTAATTTGTTGGGACTCCAAATAAATTAGCTAAGGATGGACAGATTAAGAATAAAAGCAATGCTGCATCTCTGTAGTTACACTGAACTACCTTCAAACAATGAGGTTTTACTTCAACAGTCGTCTAGGAAATTCCCCCACTTAACAACTGACAAATTTCCTATGCATGGCATATATGTAAAAACAGAGCTAAAATCTATTCTTAGTACTTTTCTGAGAAATTTTCTAAATGGAGAGTAAAATTTCCCAATTCTCTCATAAATTTAGTAGCCCAAAGGAGTCTTGAAAAACTCTTCCTTTTATTTTACAGCCTTTATCCATCAGACAAAAAAACATCTGTAGAAAGATGCTTACTAATGTCTCTGATAGAGGTTTTAGTCCCAAGTTTAACAAAACTTACGCTAAAATAACATTAAACTCAGTATTTTTATAGTTGTCAAATCAGACTTACTCAGTGTACCGCAGAGAACAAGTCAAGAGAAGTAGTGAGAAGAACCTTGCACGGAAAGTGTATTTATATCCTTTCTCAGATTGCCTGGAGGATCTGAGACGCCCTTTGTGTAAAGGGCCTTAATTACTTATGAAGCAAACTTTGTTGCATGTATTACTCCTGTACTTGCTGTAATTGTTTTGCTCACTGTTTATGATTATCTAAAGCTAAGTTAGGTAATAATTCAAAATGCAGACTGTAGCCTGCAAGTTCCTTTCATCTTGAAATTTCCTTGTTTTACTCTACTGATTTCATTAGGAATTAAAAATACATGAATGAATAGGCTTCTAGTGACTTACCTTTGCTAAAAACAGGATTGCACAGGGAGTTTTAGAAATGTCAGTGACAAATTGTGTCAACACATGCAAGATTTATTTTCCATATTGGAAATACAGGTAACATCTCCTAACATTCTCCATGCCTAGATAAATCTCTAGAAGCACAGGGCTTCTTCCTCATCTGATACAATGTTAGTGAAGCTGATGGATGTGTTCTTACCCAAGTCAGAGGAGTTATCTGGTGCAAAAACTTTAAAGAGCAGAACTATCACAAAACTATCTATTAAATAAAAATGAAGTCATCTCCAATTATGAAGTCTAAAATGAGGAGTTGATTAAATAAATGTTTTACACTTTTCATTCTGTATGAGGTCAGAACAGTCTAAATCCACTAGGATATTATTACTATTAACATAAAATAACTTCCAAGCTTGGCATATTAACATGTTTGTGAAGTACTTTGAAATCTTGTTTCCCCATGTCTCCAGAATATTCCTGATAAGCTCTACAGCCTGGGGGATGTTTAGGGTGTCTTCATTAAAAAGAATTAAACCCACTGTCATGGTGTTTATGACATGAAATTCTTTTTTAATGTGCTTGGTGTCTTTATGCATGAAGCTTCCCTCCAGAGGGAAGAGAGAGTACAGTGGACCGATTTCTTAGAAAATGGGTTTCCCACCCACGCCTGTCACTGAGGTCCCCCCCGCCCCGGAGGCTGCCTCCACCAGAGGGAGCCTCCATGTGTTTGGGAGCCTCCCCTCATGCACTGCTCCTCTGTGCACATGAGGGCAGAGTTCAGGTATTGGGAATACTGGCGCAGTCTTTGAGCTGTGGATATAGGCCACAGCAGAGGTGGCCTCAGGTTTTCATGGTTTGGTTCTTGCGAGGTGGTGTCGATACGGCGATACGGAGTATGCATCAAAGGAACTCACAATTCAACTGCAAATAGTGTTTTTTTTTTTTTTTTTTTTTTTTTTTTTTTTTTCCTTTTTCTTCTCCGATGTTCTCAAGGTCTCCTGGTCCTAAGTTACGCATAATTTGTAGCTAGAAGACTACTGCTGCCCCCCCCCCCCCCCCCCCCCCCCCGTATTGCATGACTTTTAAAGCACATGTAACAAGAGTGAAATTCATCCCAATAAACGTATTCTAGCTAAGCATACTGGATTTTTGCTTCATCTCCACAGCATTTGGGAGATACCCATGAGTACAGGAAATAAGTAGGAACTGAATTCTGGCTGTCATATTAAGATGTAGTCCCTTTGCCCCACAGGAAAATGAACTCTTCAGAATTCCCTCATGATTTAGCAATACTCTACAGATTTATTTTTATTTTTTTCCCTTCTGGTTTTCATGTTGTACTCTGGAGTGACTCATAAAGGCAACAAAAGGTAAAGAGGAAAGAAGACTGCATACACCACAATATACAATGTTAATATTGTGAGCATCTATTAATTTTAAAATTATTTTAGAAAATTACATCCTTGTGTAAGGCAGGGCCAGCATTAATAATAGCTCTTGCCTAGCTAAGATATGATCTATGTGGTCAAACCTGTTCTGTTCAACTTCAGAGCACAGAAGTCTTCTTTGTAAAGCTGAGTCAGGGGCACTTGCTAATGAAGAAATAATCAAAGGAAAATGCTTGTGGATGGATGCTCTGCTGATGTAGATCTGCAACATTCATTCTGGGTACTTCAAAGAAGTTCTACATGCTTACATCATCTGTAAACACATTATATCAGCAAAAATTCTGCCCATTAGGCATGTAAGAATTAAAATATAAGTCCAGATCATTAGCAAATGTTAATCAATTATGTATTAATTTATAGATCCAACATTTCTTATGCTAGCCAAATCTCTGGCTTTCTGGTTTTATACAAACTACAAGTGAAAGTTGAGTAATTCAAAATTTGAGGCAGGGCATCAGAATCTAATTAGGACAATGCCAGAAATGACCTTGATATCTCTCCTTTAAGGTGATACTATTGCCCAACACTAGGCGTCACCTACGGCTATTATCATTATAGATCTATTTGCATAAGCCACATATTCATAAATGATTATGAAACATTTGCAGTCCTCAGCATTCTCATGGCGTTTAACTACATAGGGTGTTTCCAGAAACACCTCATAAATCCCAATGTATGGCAGAAGGAGAACAGCTGAATAAAGGTGCACAGATACTGGAAAAGTCCACCAGGATGCATATCAGGCTTCTCCAAGCATGTTTGTCAGTTCAACAGAACAGGCACTTTTCTGAAGATCTTTCAAGAGCACTAGTGGATTAAAAAGGGGAAATTTTTCTTGTGTAATGGCCTTGTGACACATGGTTGCTTGCTGGCTCTCTGCTTTCCAGGCTTGTCAGGACCAGTGACGTGGGGTCCAGGGCTCCCTGGATATTCCATGTCTTCACCAATTCATTACTTGTGTTTAACAGCCCAGGAAACAGGGTACAAGAAGCAAAGACTTCTACTTTTTCTTCCCTGCTATGTGGGATTAACCTAGGTTTTGAGCATTGAAAAACAACAAAGAACTCTAAACAAATTGAAGTCTGTGTGAGAAACTCAGAGGAAGTAGGTGTTCAAAGAACACAGAAGGGAGCAGAGGGAGCAGGGCAGATGAGACACCTCCTTCACTACGTGCTGACCAGAGCAGTGTTGAAATGTAATACAAGAAAGTCTAAGTGCTAATTTATTAGGAGCAGGAAAGCAAAAGAAATCATTTAAATGATGTAAAATGTGTTTGGAGTTTATGTAGGTTGTGTGTTGTCTCCGATCCTACCATGGATCTTATTTATTTTTTCCTGCTAATGCTGTGTTTTGTTTTTTGTTTTGTTTTGTTATTTTTATTTTTAACATTTAGATAGAAACGTGAACCCTGCAGACAGGTTTAGGAGAAACCGAGTCAACCCTGGTTTATTTAGCCTCCACAGCTCCCTCTAGTTGCCCTGTGTGTCATTACATAACCTGCCTCAGTTTCCCTTTGTTTTGAGTTTTCTTTATTTTTCTCATCTGCTTCCCAAACACTGGCCCCCAGCCCCTCATTGCACAGTGTCAGGCAGCAGCACAGATGGTACCTGGCAGATAAGCAGCAAGCTGATTTCCTTCTGCCACAGGTAAGGTGCACAGCCCTAGTCTTAAGTGACTTGTTGCCTTCAACATGACTATATATATGGATGCTGAAGATGCTGTTTGGTTTCCTAGAATTAAAGAGCAGACCAGATTAAATTGTAACGGTGTACATCCAAATTTCACTACCTGAAATGTCATAATCAAGCTGAAGCCTGCCTGGTGTTGACTATGAAATAGCAATGTAAGGGATGGTCCCTGAATGGGACCATATCTGGGATCATCAGACTGATCTGTCGAAAGGTTTAGAAGGAGCTACTGTTGCTATGTATTTGTCACTATAGATGAGCAGATGCACAAAACTAAAAGGCTGAACTGCCATTCTAGGTGAGCACAAGTTATAGAGAAAATGGAGCCAGGTCCTTTATGGAGACAGATTGCAGGAATACGAGGAGCAATATGTGTAAACAATGAGAGGGGTTCTGATAGGATGAAAAAAAATCCTGAGAAAGAACAAGAGTTTGGATCAGAGACCTAAGAAAAATCTTATATTAACCAATAATTAGATCCGAGTCTGGTGCAATTTGGCTCTATCAAACTCTAACATCCCTCTGCTATTCTGAATGATATTATATGAAATCATTGTACATATCTGAAACTTCACTTTAAAGCAGTTATTTCTCAATGAAAATTGAATGAAGAACATGCAGAATGGGTTTTGGCATATAGGAAGAAGGGGGGGGGTGTCAATCTTGTGGTAGTAGAGCTTACTGAAACACTGATTATTTTTAATAATGCAGTGTGGTGCATATAGAAGATTTTGTAGAGCCTTCACAAAATTCTTTGAAAGTATTTGATCTCAGCATTCCGCAGGATATATTTAACAAGTGAGTTTCCCCTCAGGGAGATCCCACATATTCACCTCAAAATTTAAGGACAATTTATGGTATGGAAACCTGAAGTTATTTAATCAGGATCAAACCACAGGAATGTAAACAAATTATACAGGAGAATGAAGAAAGTATTTTTAGCAATCTGTGGGTGTAGCAGCTTAATTCATTGCGAGTCATCCTATGTCCTCCCTGGCAGACCTCAGAGTTGGGATGGTTACAGGGTGAGGAATGCTGTCTGGCACACAGACCTCTGCTGCCACATCACAGCCTGGGGGTCTGGCCCTTAGTGGCAGTAAAAATAGTCAGAGCTCAGGGGCTGGAAGTGAAGATTACTGTGTCACTAAAGTGCCACAAATGAAGTTTGTACATGTAATTTAAAGTGCTCTTTTTTACTTGATATTTTTGTGCAGAGCCTGATAAGGTAGGGTTCAATTTGTTTTGTTCCTGTGGTTGGTGCAGAAAAAGTAAAAACGAGTATGAGATGAGAATTTTGAACTTGTTTCTTCTAAAACAGCCATAGATAGGTGTTATTACTGAACAGTTCCTTTAGAGGGCAGACCAGAAATTAGGGATAAGGAATGTAGAAGTAGCAATTTAGGGAATAAAGAGAAGACAAGAATACAAATAGTATGAGTAGATTATTACGGTCCTGCGTGCACATAGAAGATCTCTGAAATGGAAGAGGGGCAGAAGAGAATGTTGGGGAGAATCATGAACATAGCCTACCTCATGGGAAAGTTTGAAGTGATGAACTTTTACATACTCAAGGTTTATTATTGAATGCATCTGATCCAGATAAATA